ATTTACTCCCAAGGACTTTATATCCCTGGCCATAACTTACTCTTCTAGGTCTCAAACAAGGAAAACTTTTAGGAAAGATAAAATTTCGCTTCAAGCTTGCCTTGATATAGCTGCAGCCCTACCTAGCGGACTGTATGTCCAAGGGTCTACACCAGCTGCACTGAATGGGTTGGAGCCGGAGTTAGTGGGTAGGAAAAGCAGGGATTGCAAGTTTTGGTGGGGGGTGTATGACAGCTGGTGAAGCAATTTAAAGGCTGCTTCATACTTTCCTCCCTCCCTTCTCTCTCCCCCTAAGTGTTTTGAGAGACTATTGTTGCTGGTATGGGCAAGCCAACACGTTAAAGGATAGGACGGGAGAATGCTATGTAAAAGATGGGTGCTTATTTTGTAAGAGTTTTACATGGTCCGACGCCCTGTGGGAAAAAATTAATGGCTCGTTTTAATGGGTTATTTTAGATGAATGTGGAAAAGGTTAGGGGATATTGCGTAAGATATGTTAATGCAAAGCTGTGCTTCAAGGGAGAAATTTGAGGAAAATAGTAAAGGTTCAAGTTAAAAGTCAGAATTCATTCATTTTATGTCGGTTTTTTTTTTTTCCTCTAAAATCATGAATTTATATTTTTACACATGTGTAATATGTTTTGAATTCATCAAGACATAAAAGAATGGATTTTCTAGCGTAAAGCATTTTACTACCGCTCTTCTCAGAAATCAAGAATTGAAAATGGTTAGTATTTTATGATATACATATTGCTTTCTAAAGAACAAAAATGTGATAGAGTGGAAATTAAAATATTAAATAACACTAATAAAAAACGAGTTTTTTAAAGACAGGCTTTCTTTCAAACTTCATCCTTTGCATGAAATATTTTTTTTATACCTTAAATTTTTTTTATATCTGGTTTCAAAATTCAGCTGTTTTATGAATAAAAACAGCTGAATATTAAAAAAAATTTTAAAAAAAAAAAAAAAAAAAAAAAAAAACTGAATATTAAGGTAATTACTCATAATTCCATTTGTTCACCGTTTGTAAGCAATTAGAATTATGAGAAGAATTTATTTATTTAAATAATTAGTTTTAATCAATTAATTTTTATTAATAAAAATTAAATTATTTTTTTGTCATCCAAAACTATCATGTATAGAAAACTTCAGCTCAATTGAGCACTTTAAAAAGTGAGAAAAAGGTTTAACCCACATATAGTTACAATGAGAATAGAAGAAAACCTATTAAGAAAGGAAGCAATTGCCTTTGGAAGAGCTGGGGATCGAACCCAGGGCCTTTCAAATGCAAAGCGAACGCTCTATCACTAAGTTACCCTTCCATTTTTTCACGATGTATGCAATTGGATTTTTGAATAGAACTTAATTCTCTGAATAATTAGTTTAATTAACTAATTTTTATTAATTATAATTATATTAATTTGTATTAATTATATTAATTTTTTATTAATTAATTGTCACCCAAAACAATCGGGTATAGAAAATTTCAACTTAATTGAGCTCTTTAAGATGTGAGAAAGATGTCGATTTTTTCAAAGTCGATTTCTTGTAAAGTTTTGACCCGGACATAGTTATAATGTGAGTAGAAGAAAACCCATTAAAAATAAAAAAGAAAAAAGTAACTTTTCAAAAAATGTGATCAACGATGAAAACGAAGTTCAGGGGAGGTTAGTTAAGGATCTGTAAGTGAAATGCTGCGCCAAAAATAATTAATAATCGATATCGGTTGGATTATGAGTAAAATTTAAATATAAAATTTCTAAACATTAAATAACACACTTATTTGTATCAAAGTGTCTTTACCTTTTTTATAAAAAGAAAAGCTAGGAACATATAATATTTTTCATAAATCTTAATATAGCGGTTTTTTTCTTTTCTTACATAAAGAAATTTAGCTTTATCAAGCAAAACTAAATTTTTTAATCAAACTTGAGATTATGATAAAGTAACTTATAAAAATTCTTATTTTGTTTTTTATTAAATAAAACTATTTAGTTTAGTTTTTAAAAACGTCGCACTGAAAACATGACAAGGGCTATTGGCGACGGACCTCGTAATTTTGAACCTCAGTCAAGTGACGAGGACAACACTTGAGCTGGCACCCTCTCCTTCTAAATTCCACACCACGAGCCTGCGGTAAGACTTTGGGCCCCGACAGATTGAACATGCATCTCCCCGGCGGGTCTTTACCACCGAAGGATCGAACCCGTGACTGAACGAAAACTGCCAGTCACGAATCCGAAACCATGACCACTAAGCTACCGCGGTCACAATAAAACTATTGAATGGTTAGGTCTGTATCTAGAAATATGTATTCATCGTGTAAGTATATCGAAAGAGATCAGTTTTATGACCAATCAAACTTACACAAATATACTTTTTTGTTAAGGAAATAAGTAATATTTATTTAATTATATAATTTTTCTCTCTAACTTATATTTCACGAGTTCTAATAATTAGTTCCTGAGTGATTTTATTACTTACTAATTTTATTATTAATTTCATTAATTATTAATCGTATTATTTAAATATTATTTTTATTAAATAATAATTGTTAATTATATTACCTAACTATTAATTTTCTTAATTAGATTAATTATTTATTAATCTCATTAATTAATTATTAATTATATTGCTCATTTATTTATTTCATTAATAAATAAGTATTGTTATTTAATTATTAAGTGTGTCATTATTAATTATGAATTCATTAATTATAATTATGAATTTCATCAATTAAAAATTTTAATGTCAGTAATTATATCATTTATTAAGTATTGATGTTATTAGTTATTAATTTTATCAATATTCATCAATTAGGAAATATTAAGTTTATTAATAATTGATTATTAAGTTTATAAACTCTTAAATTTATTAAATATTATTTATTAATTTTGTTAAATATTAGTTGTTAATTTTACTAATTATTATTTTTGTTAAATATATTAGTTATTAATTTTATTAATTTTGCGTAATATATTAGTTATTAATTTTATTAGTTATTAAGTTTGTGAAACATTAGTTATTAATTTTATTAGTTGTTAAGTTTGTGAAATATTAGTTATTTATTTTATTAAGTATTTACTCTTAGTTTTATTATTTTTATTTTTTAATAATTTTGTTCCCATTGTTAATTTTATGCGCCTAATTACACGTTATTTAATGAGTATCTAAACTGTGAAATATTTCATTCGTTCTTATTGTCAGAATGACGGTTTAACAAACTTTAAAATAATGAGTAACTTATTTGAGTCTCACTTTAGAAGCTTAAATAAAATTTTATAAAAAATCTCGAAATATTTTTCAGATTCTACTGTGATGCATGCTGCTGTATGCCAGATTTAAACGGCCTCATAGATCGTGCATGATGATATTTGAAGGCTTGGAGTATGATGTAATTATTCAAATATCAATTAGAGGGTTTACAATAACAAAATCCAGTGTTAAATTACAATTGTGTAATTACAATAAGAAGGGTTTCTCTTATAAAAAAAAATAATATCTAAGAAATCATTGAAGTAAAGGGCACTATAAAAGTATTTGAAATACAAACTTTTAAAATTCATAGTAAATTTATGATTAATTTCTTGTAAAACATTTTGAAAACATGTCATATAGTTTCAAACATATGCTGATCTCAGTTAAAGTTACTGAAGATATTTGATATTTATACTACCCTTTTTAGGAGGGTGTAGAAATAGAAAAATTAATGTGATTTAAAATATGAAAATAAACATAACCTATGCATAAAGTACTTTTCTAGCCTTGAAAGACATCTTCAACTACATAGTAATAAGGATAATAAGACTGTATTAATTTATTTGTAATATGATAAGATTTGTTTTGATTTGTTTTATTAACATCACACTAGATGCAAAAATCAGTGCTATTGATGATGGTCCTCGTAATTTTGAGCCTCGATCAAGTGACGAGGACCTGAATTGGCATACCTTTCTCCTAAATTCCACACCACGCCATGGGAAGGACTTTGAACTTCAACAAATTTAATGTGCATCAGTCCCGAATACATGGCGGGTTTTTAGTCGCATCTAAGGTCGAACCCAGAACCGCCGGATGCGAGTCCGCGACCATGACCACTAGGCTACCGTAGCCACTGTAATATGATAGGAATTAGATATTAGATTAGACACATCAGATTGAAATTATTTTCCTTTTAATGCTCTCAGGGGCTTACTTTCTTGAAGTAAATACAGGCATCACTCACCGGAGATACCCTTGTGATATTTTCTTTTCCCATGAGGGCCACGGTAGCCTAGAGGTCATGGTTGCGGACTAACACCTAGCGATTTTCATCGAGTTGCGGGTTCCCGTTTTCATGCCACAAAAGGCCTGCCGGGTAGCCGAGGCTGATGCACGTTAAATCTGTCGAGGCTCAAAGTCCTTCCATTGGCGTGGTGTGGAAGTTAGGAGAGGGAAGTGCCTACTCAGGTGTTGTCCTCGTCACTTGACCGAGGCTCAAAATTACGAGGTCCGTCACTAATAGCTCTCGAGTTCCAGTACGACGTTAATTAAATCAAACGCTGGCAAATCTTTTCCAAGGGATTTACTGACTTCGATAAACACGGATGATACGCGCGGAATATCCTAGTGATCCTTCTCTATATATTTTCGATCCTTATTTTTATTACTCAATATTTCTATTTTTTGAAACATTTAGATCCCAGTTTCACCTTATTTGGTTCACTATAGCGAAACCTAGCTATTGCCCCATTAAACTTCGCCATCACACACATACTATATTTTAATTTTAAAACTAATTCAGTAATATAAGTAAGTTTGAAACCCATAATAATAAGTGGTAAGAATAGAAAAAAATGGAATGAAAATCACAAGTATTGTAATCTTATATATATTGTCTTGCCAGCTTATACATCCAGAAGACGTCAGAATATAGATATAACTCGTTTATGTTTTATTACTTACAATCACTGTTTCACTGACAAATAAGTAATACTTTGATGAAAATAAGTAAATTTTGTGAACAAAGTTCATTCATAAAACCTCACAAATTGTTTACGAGTGACTCGATTTCTTTCCTTTTAGAAATTACTCAATATTGATGTTTGAATTATGAGTTTTGTTAAAATAAACTAAGAAAGAGTTATTTTCTGTATTTTTATCTTATTTTCCCGGAAATGATCGTACGTCGAGGCAAATATATCATGTGCGTGATATTTCCTGTTTAAGTGTTAAAAGTATGTTTATAGAAGTTATTCATCTCTTCAGTCAAATCAAAACACGCCCTTTTTCCAGGAACAAAGGATTATTCATAACTGATATAAACATTAAAAATAATCATTCCAAAAACGATAGGCCGTGGTAGCCTAGTGGTCATGACTTCGGATTCGTGGCCGACGGTTTTCGTTCAGTCGTGGGTTCGATCCTTGGCAGCTAAAGACCCACCGTGTAGCCGGGGCTGATGCACGTTAAATCTTTCGGGGCCTAAAGTCCTCCCGTTGGTGTGGTATGGAAGTTAGGAGAGGGGATGCCAGCTCATATGTGTCGTCCTCGTCACTTGACCGAGGTTCAAAATTATGAAGTTCGTCACCAATAGCCCTAGTGTTGCTTCTAGTGCGACGTTAGTAAAAACTAAACTAAATCCAAAAAATGTGTGTTTTCATAAACCGTTGCGTAAAAATAAGTATAAATTGAAATATTCATTAATCTGTAGGATAAATTAAAATTTTAATAGCGGGAAGATGGTGAAAGAAAAAAATCAATCAATATATAATTGTTCAAGGGTTGAGAGTGTGTTTTTAGAAATTTTTTATCTCTTCAAAAAAATCAGAAAACGCGTTCTTTCCATTAAAAATGATTATTCAGAGCAGTAATAAATATTAAAAATAATTATTCTAAAAACGAGCGAAAAATGTGTGTTTAATAAATGGTTCGTGGAGCATAGCGAATAAATAATTATAAATCGAAATATCTATAATCTGTAGGATAAATTGAAATTTTAATAACAAGAAGATTGCAAAAGAAATCAATGAATATATAATTGGTCACAAAAGTTAAAAGTATGTTTTTAGAATTTCCACTCGTTATGTTACTTAAACGTGCAAAGGAAATTATCTATTTCCTATTTGATAATGATCAAACAATACGGTGTTGTACAGATTACTTTTTTTAAACCCCTAAGATATATTATCTAAAAAAATCACATTAACAGTATCATGGTTGTAATGTCACACCTGTAAATGATTTTTTTTCATTGATTTGTTAAAGAAAGGTGAATGAGATGAGATATACGAGTATTAAAATAATCACATATTTAAAGTAAATTATAAAAATCACTTTGTAC